TTTTTCAGAAGCGACCTGGCCACAAATGATAGCTCAACGAAGTTGGCTTATCGCGTTGAAATGTATGGCACAAAAAGACTCTAAATCTGCATTATGTTGATTCTTAGTATGGAGGGAAAAACCAGAGGACTGGGAAAAAATCTATGCAACCACGGGGAGAGCGAGACACACAAACACCAAATATACAGGCATCAGGGTTGGGATCGAACCCACAACCTCCTGTGTACCAGGCAAGGTAGTTAACATCTTGCCACCGTGGCCACCCGGTAAGGCGGGGGATGCTCATAGCAGGGAAGTTGAACCCAATCTTTGGAGAAAATCAATGAAACTTCAAGGCAGGGTTAAGTTTATTTAAAAAAGAGCAGCTGTGCAAACCAATGTAGAGTGCGCACCCAAGTGACCTTAGCCTCACCCAAATGCATCCAAAGGCTAAAAAAGCCTTCATTTGGCCTCGAGGTCTTAGCCATTTTTACCGAACCCTAATCATCCTTTCGTAGTTTAGCTCTTCTAATCTCAATTTTGTGCACAGGCAAAGCCCATCTAGCCGCACTAACACCAGGGGGCCCATTTGTGACTAATTTACAAGATTACCCTTTTGGGGGAAGAGTCCAAGATTTATTGTGTAATCTTACAACCACATTCACATGCATGCTAATGCACCATGGCTGTGACAAATAACCACCTTAAAGCACAAAGTGTTAATTCTAAAAATTTTACTTGACAAAAAATTGCATGCATTTTGGCAACACAACTGATACAAGACTTAATGTTTTTATTCTACAATAACAAAAAAGAGCTGTAGATCATATTCTTAGTTTTTTCGGTAAAGTCACGTTGAAGAGAAACAACAAAATAACAAAATATATATAAAACAATATGCAAACCGACACACCTGATGATGACCGTTTGAGTTATGGTCGAAACGTCGTGAGAATTTTTTATTGTTTTATATATATTTTGTTATTTTGTTGTTTCTCTTCAACGTGACTTTACCGAAAAAACTAAGAATATGAATTACTGCAGTCACGAAAGCTTTAAATCAAAATTTAAGAGCTGTAGAGTCAAAAAATGCTTATAAACAGTGGATGGGAAAAATAGAAAAGTTTCCCGTCTAAAAAAGATTAACTGAAGACAAAAATCCATATACTCTGTGATTCGTGAATAACGAGACATACTAAAAAAATATTAATTTGGGTACACGTGCAGCCCTTTTGTCAAACAACTTCTGAATGAGGGCCTCCCTATGCAGTGCAACGCTGGTAGGAATGGCTTGAAGGTGGACACAGCATAGACATGTTGAAGGACAGCACAACAGATTTTACACCGCTGCCCTCTGACTATCCACCGTGCAACCCAGCAAATATGAAGTAATATTTAAGTCCAGTATAGTGTCAAGAGTGCGCCTGCCTAAGTTGGGGTTCTCTATACGATAGATAAAAAATGTAAGTGTATATAAAATGAAAAAATGTACAGAAATGTTAAATAAATCATCTGTATATGATAAATCCTGGACTTGCTTCTTCCGCGGGCGATACAGTTACACACCCTCAAATCCACATTCGCGTGATGTCGGGGGGGGGCAATTTGACTCCTTACTTCACGCCCCGTGCGTGTAGCTAAAGTACGAGTCACAATTGTAAGTATGAATCGGGGGGGGGGGGATCAGTTGCGTATGAGCTGGATCCACGTACTCTCAGCCTGCGTACTCCGAGACTTTACTGTACATTGTATTAAATATGCATAGTATTGTATTCATAAACATTGTAAAGTGCTCCAAATATTAATGACATCATGCAAGCATTATCTAATGCTTGCACGATGACGTTCTTCATCATCTTATGCAGCACGTGATTGCAGGCTGCTCTAACGAATCATTCACGATGCGTAAATTCATAGTTTAGGCTTCGGTGCTCCTCGGGACTGATTTTGGGGTCTCCTCGGGCAGGTGAGGAGTCTGTTTTACATTAGTGCAGTCTCCAAGTAAAAGTTGAAACATTTGAGACCAAGACTATGGCAGTAGGCCTTGCTGTTGCTGAGCCAATCAAGGTACAGATAAATATACAGGTGACCCCCGAATTATGACTGCTCGACTTGCGACCTCCCGCCTTTTACGACCTTACGACCTTCCCTTCCTTGTAGTAAGACCCCCCCCCCCCCCACAGTAACTCGTATGACCGCCTTATGAGCACTACCGATGCCAAGTCGACTGATGGCGCTGCTTTGGTCTTCCACCATATGCATATGTACAGTATAGCCTGACAGTCTGCAGCTGCGCCTCGAGTGAATGCATACCTTTCACAATGTGCTTCATTTTTGTGAATTTTCTTCAAATTTTGAAAAAAGTTCACCTTCCGCAATGTCTGAGAAGAGTAAATGTGATGCACGTGCAGAAAAGTACTTAAGAATTTTAAAATGTGTTTTTTACTGAATACATGTTTCTAAAGGTTATGTTAAGTTATCATAAATGCTGTAGGTGCGGAGGTCGCCTGTTTAACATCTTCAGCAAATGTATTTGTTATTTGGCAGATGGAGGAAATAAAAATTACAGGGTATGTGTATTAAACGTGGAATTTAGAATACCTACTGTGATGCAATCACGTGATAATGTTGTGGCTTGACTCTCCAACACATTGGTCTAATGTAGTGACAAATTGGCATGTTCTGTTTACGTGACAACCCTTACTAGATGGCCGTGTCGGGTGGTGGCGGGTTTTAACGACACATTTATATATTTACGCGATCTAACCCAAAAAAAAATATTATATACGTGATAATGGAATTACGATATCATTGACATATTTAATGAGGTCAAAATATGCATTCCTGAGCACCAATCTGTCATGCTAACATGTCATACATGAAAACTGAAATGCGTCAACCTTTTATCCATATATTATAATTTGTGTCAGGGCCTATAGATCAAAATGCCTTCTAAATATACATCCTGAAGAATTTCCTGAGAAGTCAGATGGCAAACAAAAGCTCAATTCACAATTTTGCCATCCCCGCTTAAAATGTGCAATGCTGCCGTAAAATTGCCTATTCTTCAGAATTACCCTGTTACTTATTTTCTCCATAATGATCAAAAATATTATATATATAGATTATTTACATGTGTTTGGGTTCATAGAACAATTCCCTTTTCCACGTGTCCTGAACATAGAGAAAACAAAACGAATAACTTGCATTCCTTGTATCATGTATTATTTAAGACCAAACACAACACTTCAGAAAGACGAGAGAGCAGCAATGACGTGACGTCTCAGTACAGACGAATGCTTCGTGGTCCCTTTAGTGGCCATCGCATGATAAAACAGCTTAATTATGACAGGCTTATTTAGGAGTCTGGCATCATCTCCCTCAACCTTGGCTGTTCTTCTTCTTGATTTTTCTGTGTGCCCAGCCGCCACCCTCCTCTGCTCCAGAGGAGAGGCTGGGTAACATGCTAATTCATATGTTAATTCCGCCCACACAGCTTAAAAGACGCTTTCCATGCTTGGCAGTGTTCACTCAAGCGCTGTCTTCTGGACAGTCCTGTTTCTTCACCTGAAGAAGGCTACTTGTGTTGTGGCCGAAACGTCATGAGAATTTCATTTTATTATGTTTTTTCTTCCATTCTACGTGACTTTACCGAAAGAACCAAGAAGATCTCCCTCAATTGTATGAGAAAATGTAACAAACATCAAAGTGTTTGTGTGACTGAATGTCAACTCCATGCTTCCTGATGCGACGTTACACCAGGAACAGGGCAGTCCTTAACAGCTTTCCCATTCCAATGACGTATGCGTACAGCTACGTCATCAGTTTTACTCTTCCGTTTCCGTTCTGATGACGTACGTGTACGGAATCAGTAGTAAAACTAAAATAAATGTACTTTATCGATACATATTCAGGTTGGAAGATGTACCGAGGATCCCACAAGGCCACGCAGGAGGGCGTGTGGCACAGTTTGACACAACTATCACAGAGTGCGGTCGTGTCGCTACAGTTCTATGCGGTGAGTAAAATGTTTTTAAAAATGGCGCTACTACACCTCTCCAAAAAAAATTACACTAAACCACATGCGCGTTCCAAGATTCAGCAACGAACGGGACCCACTCTGCAATTTGCAAACATCTCAGAAGAGGAAAAGGTTCAGAGATACGCAAGACCGAATGTGTGGCCTTTAAGGGACCGAGGCAGGGCTCAAATGTTGTAGGTCTTCTGAGTTGTTAGATGAGGCAAGCTGTTTGTGTAGCCAAAACCAACACACACGTGTTTTTTTATTGAGTTGTGATCCGAGTAACATGGACTGTGGATCATACCATCTCAGTTTCCATATCGTGGATGAGGATTTGTTATCCGAAACGTTTGAAATGCATTTCTGCCACCATTTTAAGCTTTGACCAAGAATAGTAAAATCTGGAAAAACTATTGAGATGTATTCATAACACAATGTGAATTATCATAACCCAGGACATTTTACTACGTTTCCGTGAACTAAAGCAGCCTAATAATGAAGGCAAAAAATCAATCCGGGTCACACTGCTGCGGATGATATAACTTGCAAACTTTTAGCGCCCTCATCGGAAACAATACATCATTGCAAAAGGTTACTCAGATACAGAAAACACATGGCCACACTATGTGGATGATTGATTGATCAATAAGAAGCCCAGATATAATCTGATGAGCGTACATATCAAAACATAATACCAAAGCGTACACAAATACGTGAAGCACATTTAGGCCACAAAGTACTGCACGGAAAGCCCATATTTCTCTTTGTTGCATGCACTTGCACTTGAGTCCGACATTGGCAAACAGCTATACGCGTGATCTTTAAATTTTGTGTGCTTTTGCAACATAGCAACCGTCACCAAAAACAAGATGGCTCGGCGTATATACTTACCAATACATGCATGGTATTAGGTATTTCCCCATTCATGACTTGTGGCCTAAACGTGTCACATGTTAGCCCGAATTCATTAATAGGTGAGGGGTTTAATTTGAATGTGAACCTGCGCCTCTCGGATGAGCACGCTCCATGCTTCGATGTCAAACGGGTTGTCCTCAAGTTTTCGCTCTGCTTTCTTCACTTTCTCTGGAACGTACTCCTGTGCCTGATGCACATGCACACGCGCACACACACACACATACGTACGGTTAAATTGGATGATTGCCTGGGTAGGCTGATAAGACAGTGGAGTAATCACACAGGTCAAACATTTATACTGTAATATATGAGAAGACTAACAAGTAATACATTCCATATTTTGAGTAAATAACTGTTGAGGAATTATCTAATCCTATAAACGAATGGTCCAATCACCTGACCGGTTGTGTTTAAAATTATCAATTCTAAACCAATCTTACCTTAAAAGAACTTTCATAAAGCCGCGAAGAATGCAAAATGGCAATTGAAATTCAAACACTCTAAAAAGAACAAAAATGGCAGAACCTACTTTGTCATGAAGCAAACGCTTGCTGTAAACAGAAACGTATTTCGCAAACTTCGGTACTCATACCAGTTAAAATGACTACAGAAGACAACTCCATTCATTGCCATTGTTAGAAGCTTCAAAGTGTAAAAGCATAAAACCCCACAGCTGTGTAATCAGTCATTCAAAAAGTTTGTGTTTCTCAAATATTTAACTATCACATAATCCAACTACATGAAAAAATAAGATATTTGCACGAGGGGAAAATATTTTTCATACTATATTGGAAACAAGTTTAGCTGTCTGGATATCCTGTCCGCCTGGCTGGATTCCCAACTGACTGGATTCTCGGCCCCAGTGCACGATGATGATGGCTCACCCGCATCCCACAGCATTGTCCGTGCATATTGTTGCCCCCGCCCCTACCCTTCACCCGTGTATCCCACGAAAATTCGCGAGAGATGACTTTGAGGGAGATAAACAGGGGATAAAGGAGGAAGGACTGGAGGGTAGAGGTGTGGGGAGAGTGAAATGGTGGCTGCAGGAATGAATCTTTGTTTTTTTTCGGTAAAGTCACGTAGAAATAAGAAAAATAAAATTACATAATATACGACGTTTCGATTGCAACACAAGCAATCATCATCAGGTAGAGGAAACACATAACCGCAGATATATACAGACCTTAAGTAGAGGGAATTAACACAGATATACCAGGGGATACAGAGAGACGGAGCATCACACTAAATCAAACAGGGTTTAGCAAAATTTGGAAACTATATAAAGCAACACAGACGGTCGGTTAAAACACAATTAACGCATGGTCTGGTTGAATACGCTATTTCAAAGATTGTAAAATTGTAAGTTAAGTGTGAAATTTAAGATAGTGATAGAATACATACGAAAGCACCAAATCTAGTTTGAGCCATCTCTTCGGGGAGGTATGAAATCTGTCTTTGTGTTCTCTGCTGTTGTATCTGCCTGTGTCTTGAATTGGGTTTATGTCGCTGTGTTGTCTCTCCCTATAGTTTTGTACCTGGGTGTCTCTAAGTGTGCGCTACGGTGCCCTCTCTGTGCACCTGATAACGTATATCATGCTAATTTGTGTCCCATTGTCTCCGAGTCCCAGCCCCTCCATCTCTAGCTATTTAAGGCCTCGGTATAGAGCTGCTTTACCTCTTAACTGTGTGCGTGTCTCCCCCCCATAGGTCTATCTACGGTATGTATTCTATCATCTTAAATTTCACACTTAACTTACAATTTAACAATCTTTGAAATAGCGTATTCAACCAGACCATGCGTTAATTGTGTTTTAACCGACCGTCTGTGTTGCTTTATATAGTTTCCAAATTTTGCTAAACCGTTTGATTTAGTGTGATGCTCTGTCTCTCTGTATCCCCTGGTATATCTGTGTTAATTCCCTCTACTTCAGGTCTGTATATATCTGCGGTTGTTTCCTCTACCTGATGATTGCTTGTGTTGCAATCGAAACGTCGTGTATTATGTCATTTTATTTTTTTCTTATTTCTACGTGACTTTACCGAAAAAACAAAGATTGAGAGTGAAATGGCATTAATCGGAGGACAAAGAAAGCAAAATCTAAAACAGAGTGAGGGAAAACGGGACAGGGAAGAGGTTGAGATGGCAAAGAAATGTGGAAATAAGGTGAGCAAGGGTGAGGTGGGAGAAACAGGGAGTGAGGTAGTGGGAAAGGAAGAGGGTGAGGCAGAGGAAGGAGAGATAGTGAGGGAGGGCGAGGTAGCAGAGGGAAGAGAGAAAGAGACAAAATGGGAAATTGAGATAAATTGAGATACACAGTACAAAGGCAAGAAAAATGTGGAGGCAGGGCTCTACATAAGATAACAAAAAGGCTTTGCTGGCTGGAACAGACGATCATGTGAAAAGGATGTGGCTTGCTCGTTTATCGAATTGCTAAACTGGGTTGCCAGTAAATGGACCGATGTTATGTTGGACTTCTTTCGCACCGTATGTAGCCAACCGTGCTAATCGGAGGTGAATCAAGGGCAATGGCTTACAGAGCAAATTTAGAACCAGGAATAATATCGTGGTGTCCTTATGACACAAAAATAACACATTCATCAATAACTGCCTTAAATGTCTGTGCTACAAAGGGCCATTGCCCAAAACGTCGCCTATATCTTTTTATTTGGTCTAAAAGAAAAAAATATATAGGCAACGTTTTAAGGCAGTGTTATTTATGAATGTGGAGTTCCATTGTTGTGCTTGTGCACCACACTTCCTTTACAATGGAAGGATCAACTTTACAGGAGTTTTTTTTTTTTACACCAGCTACAGAGATGAGTAAAGTTCAAGCATTAACACTTTCAACCTTGGTTGAAAAGCATTAAAAAAAAATTACCGACCACACCAACGCCATGAAATGAGACGAAAGATGGTTTCTTATTTTCCCCAGTGCTGCGGCTAAATTCAGCACGTATCAACATTCCGCAGCAACATTACATAAATACATTAACACGAGGACCTTTAAACTCAATTCTTCCAAGCAACATTTATAGTTTTGATTTAAAGCTTTCGTGACTGCAGTAATTCATATTCTTAGCTGTTTAGGTAAAGTCACGTTGAAGGGAAACAATAAAATAATAAAATATATATAACAATAAAAATTCGGTCATCATCACCTGATGATGACCGTTTGTTATGGTCGAAACGTCGTGAGAATTTTTATTGTTTTTATATATATTTTATTGTTTCCCTTTATTGTTTTTATATATATTTTATTGTTTCCCTTCAACGTGACTTTACCGAAAGAGCTAAGAATATGAACATTTATAGTATTGACAAGGTATGATCTCATCGTGATGCAATAGGGACTTAGTTGCTAAACGTGGGAATGCAGTGACAAAGCTACACAACTACACACCAAGGATTTTCTTGATTACAGATTGTCACATCACACATTTGCTCACATCATACACATCACACGCATGTGATCATCACTTCACAAGCATGTGATCATCACTTCATAAATATTTGATGTCACAGTTGGTCCCACCACACACATGGTCATCACATCACACACGGTCATCACGTCACACACATTTGGTCGCGTGAAGATCAACCATGACTAAGGAAGTCACGGGACCCATTTCCATCATTAATCATCATTTTTATTTGCAATGTACCATTCACAAGCCTCATTGAAAAAAATCCAACATTTATATTACATGAACCGGCAATGTGCTTTCCAAGACTAAAACACATTAATAGTAAAACCAATGGTTTAACTGCAAAAACAACTCAAAGGTGTGGTCATATATTTGAAGCTTATTCATATTCTTTGGGTCTTTCGGTAACGAAAACTTTAAGTCAAGATTTATATTTGAAGCTTTCATCAATAACAGAAATAGGCAAAACTTGGACCAAACATCCACTGGAAACAAAGCCACCGTGGAAGGTGAAACTCAACCTAACAGAGTTATTTAAACACCTGTCGGTTGCATAAACTATCTTAATGGTAATCCCTTTGTTCGAAAAAGGGAAATGTCCCCATAAGGAGTGTTATGCAATGGTCCACTAGGCTCACTCCGAGCCGTTTTACTTCAACAATTATTTAACTGGCTGACTTTATGCGGCTTTTGACCACCCTTTAAATAAAACGTTTCTTTCATTTGGCATGGAATTACATCCACTCAACGCAAAGCTAACACGCAGCAACACCATTAAGCAACGGCATTTTGCGGCGACCAATGCGAACATACGTTGAGAAAATCACGTTGGTTATTAAAACTGCTTTAAGTTAAATACTGTATAAACATGGGATCATGCATACATGCATACTGTACAGTACTTCAGAGCAGAGAACGCAGGAATGGACACGCTTAATCACTAGACTTAGAATGTATTTCGTGGTGCCACTCTAGAAGTTGATGATTAAAAAATAGTGTAATTGTGCTTATTGCGGTGCGTTTTATTGCAGTGTGGCATGGTGCGTCTCACTTAATTGTATTGCAGTGCACAACAGTGCTGGAGCACGGTGAACCTAAACAAATTGGACCTTAATGAGGTATACCGTATATTGTGGTCCTGTGTATTGTATAGGTTGTATTGTGGAACTCGAATATGTGCCATTGTATTATGGTAAACTGAAGAACACTGCAGTTAAAAGTGGTATGCTGCAGTAATGTCTAATGCAATGCACGGTCTGTGGTTGTGGCCACGATGCGTATGCCCCCTGTATGTTTGGAACGGTGAGACGCGGCGACATTTAGACATTTCTACAAAGACAAAGGGTATAGTTTTAAGTATAATCAGCTTAAAGTGGCCTTCACGTATGCACCACTCCACAATTATTATTAACACAGTAGTTGTTTTTTTTTAGGCCCGAACGGCCAGGTAACAAACAGCACCATCAAAGTCGCAGGGTCATTAAGGGTTAGTGGACACGTTCATTCAATTGCGCAAGGTTAGAAGCGCTTTCCATTAAAACCTTTTAAAAACACACACACTCCCCCGCAGTCTAATCTAACCGCCGTTCGGCCTCATTTGTTGTTGTCCCGTCTCCCTCAGTCTCTTTTTTTTCTCTCGAACACGTGGACGACACTCTGGGATTTCGTAGTCACGGCCGAGCGAGAATCCCGCGCGGAGTGAAAAACGAGGCCCGGGTCGCCTCGACTCGACCTATCCTCCGGCAAACATCGACAAAACCCTCCCCCCCCCAACCCACCCACCCACCCCCCAACTCCCAGAGCACTTTTTTTACACATCGCCGCCCTTAACCAAAACGCGCCCACGGCGATTAGCAAGATCCGTAACGACGCCCTTCGTTGCATCCGTACCTGCTCTGCGTTGCCTTCGGAGGCCATGGGCTCGCTCGCACGCGCCGAGCGGCGGCTGAGGGTGGCCGCGATGGCGACGTGAGGCGGTGGGTTTAACAAAACAAACAAACAAAAAACGCGTTGCCCGCCCGTCGATACGACCAAGTGGCGCTAACCACGACGACGACGACGACAAGATGATAACGATGACAATAATAACGAATAAAAAAACAACAGACGAAGCTGGCGCTGCTCCCTCAACTCGCCGCTCCAAAGATGGCGCTCCCCCTGCCACCCCCCCCTCCCTCCGTTAACGCCCGCACTGCGCACGCGCGCTCCCCGCGACCTTCTCGATTGGCCGAGCCACCGTCACGTGAGCAAACTGCCAGGTCCCCTCGGCCAATAGCGAGATGATTAATTGTGGAGTGGGGGGGGGGGGCGAGAGGGTTGGCGGAGAAGGGGGCGGGGTAAGAGGGCTGGGGGAGGGGTGGGGGGCGGGGTCGGGGTCGGGGGTGACCTCGGCGCATGCGCAGTGAGGCTATGTTGGAGTCACGGCGGGGTTACGTGAGTTTCTTGGGCTTCAACCACACGTGTGACCAACACCCAGGTCGGCTTTCGCGACCAAAATGTTACCCACGGCACTGCGGTTTGTTTTTTGTTGTTGTTCGTATGTGTGTGTGTGTTAGATCGCGTAAATATACAACGCGTCGTTAAACCCGCCACCACCAACCCCGGACACAGACAATCGATTCGGGATTGTCACATTAACGAAACGTGACAATTGGTTTACCGACATGGGACCTGCTTTGCCAGTACCAAAATATGATAATAGGTTTTTTTTGCCCCCCCCCTTTTTCTGGCAAGCAAAAAAAACTTTTCACAAGGAATCATTGTCTGCATTAACCACAATACTTGTGGTCAGAATGCAAACAAAAAAAACACACCGATAATATATGTGTAGTTAGAGTAACACGCGCATACAGGGGAAACTGGTAAAGACGCGCGAGTGATGGGCAGTTGGGGTCATGTCGGGCCGGCCAGGTGCGGCGGCGGGGTACGGTGAGGTAATGACGGGCCAATTAAGCTGGGGAGCGATGGACGGCTGTGATTGGCTGAGGTTGTTGTCAAGGGCAAGGGTGGCGCCGGAACGTCTGGGAATAGAGGAGGCAGGCAACAGGTGCAGGAGGACGCTGGGCGTCGGGGGGGGGGCACGTGGCTAATTCATTGGTGAGTAATGAGACCGGGGTTATAAGGGGGAGACGGGAAGACAGAGGGGAGTTGTGATTAGGGCTGGAACGACGCAGGTGGGAGAGAACGGGGAGAAGACATAGGAGACGGAGCAGCTAGCAGTGGAGAGAGACAAGCGGAGACGAGCAGAGAGAGAGAGTACAGAGGGAAGCGGAGACACAGAGAGACAGGGACAGATAGACGGAGCAAGATGGCGAGAGACAAGGACGGCAAGTGAGACAGAGAGATACAGAGGGAGATCAGCGGAGTGAGACAGAGAGAGACGGAGAGAGAGTACAGAGGGAAGCGGAGACAGAGAGAGACGGGGAGAGATAACCAGTGAGACGTAGAGAGACGGAGAGGGACGGAGACAGCGAGCGACGGAGGGAGACGGAGAAAGACAGCGGAGGAAGCGGAGCGAGCGAGATGGGCAGAGTGCGGCGAGCGAGCCGTGGCAATCAGAGGAACTGTGGAGTTATCGACGGAATGCGGAAATAATAATAATAGGGTTTTTCCCCTTTTTTCTGGCAACAAAACTGAAACCTTTTTACAAGGATTCATGCCTGCATTAACCACAATACCTGCAGTCAAAATGCAAACAAAAAACTTACTATGATAATATATGCATTGTCCTTTAAACTGATTGGTCCACACTAAGGGACGGCTTTCTTTTGAGCCTCGACCCAATTGTTGCTCGACCACATGACGCCAGAAGGCGTACAGCTCAAAGACAATGCACTATCAAAGTAATGAGGGCTCGGAGTGAGCATCTACATCATTAGACCTCCTTTGCCAGTACCAAAATGTAATAAAAAGGAGAAAAACCCTATTATTACATTTTGGTACTGGCAAAGGAGGTCTAATGATAGGGATGGAATGCGGAGAGTTGTAAATAAAGTGGTGTCAGACAAAAGAACAAAGTTGTCAGAGTGAAGTCTACCACTACATATGCATTGTCCTTGAAACTTATTGGTCCACACCAGAGACAGCTTTCTTTTGAGCCTCGTCTCAAATGGTGTTAGACCAGAGGACGCCAAAAGGCGTTCAGCACAAAGACAACTCCATTTACAAACAGCTGTGGGGGTGGCCATCCTTGTCCACTTCCATGTGGCGATAGCTCTTGCCGAGCTCTCTCCGAGCTTACATCTACAAGCAAATCTCCTACATTGACATGCCAATCTCTCACAATACAATGGCCACCTCCACAGCTTCATTTGTCAAGATTTACCCGATCTTGCATTTACATGCAAATCTCATCTCTAGCCCCTCCCACTGACCCTTGGGCTACACCCATTCCCAAACCTTGACAACTCCTTACCTTAGCAGCACTCCCACCATATATTCTCACCTGATGACGATTGCTTGTGTTGCGATCGAAACGTTATTCTTTTTTATTATTTGATCTATCTACGTGGCTTTACCGAAAGACCCAAAGAAGACTACTGGCGAGTTAGGATATACCTCACAAAATGGACAATTGCTTAAGATATCAATGTGTCGTTATTCATAACATTTATTTTCTCTGTTGAAACAAAATTCAACAAGTGTGTAGTATAGCAGTAGCCAAAAAGGTTGAGAACCACTGCTCGATAAAGTCTATATCTGTGTAGTTTCAGTTTTATTTATTTCAGTTTATTTATTTTGGTATAGCCCTGTGAGCCATTCGGCTCTTGAATCGGGGGCAACCACAACAAACATAGTGGTGACTGTTGGACAGCAGCAGCAACTACAGGTGGGCACTTGGCCCACATGCCGCGGGTGTGCCGGCAGGGCGGAGGAACTGGGGCAAGGGTCATGCTAGACCTCGTGTGGAAGCCCCTGGAACCCTATAGAGGGTTCGAGAAGGGAGGCACGGCTAGGGCGGAGCCAAGCCGCGCCGAGGGGAATACAAGCACAAGAGGTTTTTTGGGTTAGATCACGTAAATATATAAATGTGTCGTTAAAACCTGGCACCACCCGACACAGCCAACTAGTAAGGGTTATCACGTAAAGAGAACATGCCAATTCGTCACTAGTACAGCACACCGGTATTTTGGAGCCAAGCCACAACATTTACAATCCAAGGACGACGTTTCGCCAGTAATTACAATTAGCTTCATCAGGCGACAGGCACAAATCTGAGAGGAAGGACAAGATCAAAGGGCTAGCATGATGCACATGCATAATACACATTGACTCATTAATCCCCCCCCCACTTTGCGCAAGAGCGCAGAAATGTGGCCACCACATCTACGCCTTTAAGGAAAAGTTAGACTTCTCCACAAATCTGGCTGTCGTCTGAGGAAGCTAGTTGTAACTACTGGCGAAATGTTGTACTCGGATTGTAAATGTTGTGGCTTGGCTCTCCAACACACCAGTGTGCTGTACTAGTGACGAATTGCATGTTCTGTTTACGTGACAACCCTTACAAGTTGGCTGTTTCGGGTGGTGGCGGGTTTTAACTACACATTTATATATTTACGCGATCTAGCCCAAAGAACCTCTATTATGGATGACATTGGTCACGAAAGCCTACGTGTTAAGCCTGGTACATCCCGAGCTGCTCCGAGCTGGCTTGGCACGGCACGGCTTCTGCAGTGGAAAAACATCCTGGTGCATCCCGAGCTGGCTTGGCACGGCACCTGCAGTGCAAAAACAGCCTGGTGCATCCCGAGCTGGCTTGGCACGGCACCTGCAGTGCAAAACAGCCTGGTGCATCCTGAGCCGCCCGAGCTGGCTTGGCACGGCTTCTGCAGTGGAAAAACCTGCTACCACCTGAGCCACCCTGAGCTGGCTTGACAAGGCACTGATGTGTCGATGTCCTCAGTCTTAAATGTAGTGCATAAAAATGACCACACGACGTGCACGCTTTAGCTTTTATTTTGACTGCTTCGACACATGAACAGACCGCACAAATGTGTTTATTTTTAATTTTTGTACAAATCCGGATTGCTCCATAACACCATGACACAATGTGCTGTTACTATACAGTGCACAAACACATTCGAGTACTGAATTAAAACGCCATTTATAGACCTTGCTCGTCTCTGTATAAATAACGATGTTGTTTTGGAAACAGGACAATAAATAACGACACCTAAGAGCCCCTTCTGAATCTGAGAATCGTAAGTCATTTTGTGTGCCAGTTGGTTTTGTAAAATGAGCAGGTCTGAGATCCACTTGACAAGGAGCAGCTGCTATTTCCAACATCTGCGATTGCCTGTACCTCCGATTGGCACGGTTGGCTACATATGGTACCAAAGAAGTTCAACAAACATACATCTCAGGCATGGCTCAATTGTAATTGGTTGAAGCTATGCCTCCCGTGCGTCACGTGCCATTGCAACGACACGAGTTAAGGCTGTTTCGAAAAAAAAAAGCATTCATAAGGTATCCCTGTATTGTATTTGGAAATATTCCATGATACCAAGACTGAAAATGTCTTGTTAAAGAAGAACATAACGGCTAATCCACTCGGCGATGGGCCACTCAGTTTTTTTCATGGGAGCATTCATGTTTAAGAGGAAAATCATGAGCACGCAGCTTACAACGCAATTTTTTTTGACAGGAAATCCTCAACAATTACAAAAGCATTATTTTAAAACACGATTGTTCGCTGCCCTTAAAACAGACATCTTTCATGAGCAGTATTTTTTAAATACACTTTTAACTATTAACCTCCCACTTAAACAAAATTATGGCATTGATAGACGGTTGACCATTATTCATTTTAAGATCGCAAACATTTTTTTAAATAGCTAACGAAGTCAGTACCCGGTCATCTTTGGCTCACCACTAAAAAAAAGCATAAAACTCAAAATCGCTTTCAATGAATTCCCCTTTTGAACTTTTACACATGGCCAGCAATGCCAGGAATAACATTTGGCTCACTGGAATCACCAAAGTGCAACGACCACACAAAGTCTAAATTTTTTCAATTGGTGGTATCAAAATCCACCCAGACCTGTGCTTTTTTTTCAGTAACCCACCAGGAAAGCAGCTTATAGTATTGCCACTGAAACATCTGCACCATTCGTACAAGCAGTCAAATGGCACGAAACAAGCAGCGGGAAACGAGGAAGCACAATTTACGAGGACCCTGTAAGACCAAAAAGGCAT